CCTAGTCAGGTTTAATAAGTGGGATTTCTTGCCTTTTAAGTGGGGCTGGGATTGATACAGAAGTCAGGTGGATAAACAGCTGATTGTCTTACTGAATAGACTGTTAGAATTTGTATAATGGCAAGAAAAAAGCAGCTAAGTAAAGAAAAACGAGTGGCCATCATTACTTTAATAAATTAAGGTCAATGAAAAAGTGGCAAAAGTGCCCCCAAGTGCAGTCGCAAAAACCATCAAGTGCAACAAAGAAACTGGCTCACGAGGACCGCCCCATGAAAGGAAGACCTAGAGTCACCTCTGCTGCAGAGGATAAGTTCATCCGAGTCACCAGCCTCAGAAATTGCAGGTTAACAGCAGCTCAGATTAGAGACCAGGTCAATGCCTCTTGAAGCTCATCAAGAGAATGCCAAGGGTGTGCGAAGCAGTAATCAAAGCAAAAGTGGCTACTTTGAAGAACCTGTAATAAAAGACTTATTTTCAGTTGTTTCACCCTTTTTGGTTAAGTATATCATTCCACATGTGTTGAATCATAGTTTTGATTTCTTCAGTGAGAATTTCATAGTCATGAAAATAAAGAAAACTCTAGAATGAAAAGGTGTGTCAAAACTTTTGGTCTGTACTGTAAATATATATCCATACATATGTGTCTGTGTGTGCCTGTCAGTATGAACAAACCAGAGAGTCTTCACGCGTGTCCCGAGATGAGCGTGACTACAGAGTCAGAGTCCGCAGCAACATCACCAGAGCCCTGACTGCTCTTGACCTGAACACGTTCAGCGACATCCAGCAGACATCTGCCGCCCTGGCACAGTGCACGGTGGGCTGCATGAGATCAGAGGGCTGTGGGAAGAGCAAGAATGAATCAGGAAAGATATATGGTCTATTTCTGTCTGCTTTTCTAGGCTGTAAGTCGGGAGTTTATCTGTGAGGAATGTCAGAACAGCACTCTGAACAAGCTGGAGTCGATGTTGGAGATTCTGCAGACGGACACCAAGCAAGGCATGGTCCCCCCGACTGAGATAGCTGATAATATCCTGAACATCATGGGTAAGTGGGACTGCTTGTGCAAAACCAAAGTAGTTTACTATGTTCCACTAAAATTTTCACCATTTTTATAACGAATAATATTGCAGCTTGAAAGTATTTATTTATAGCTCTCATAGCTGTTGATTAGGACAATCACTAAATCGGTACTAGCAGATAATGGTTAAGTGGATGAACGTAGCAAATATACCCTAGTTTACTTTTTCTTGGTAAAGAAAAAAATGTAAAGCACTGGATTTCTATTTATCTTCTTCATTCTGATACCTCAAAATTGTCACAAAAGTTGCAGGGAATATAGTAAGAATGTGGAAGAAGATGCCAGTTAGTTAGATGGGATCAACTAAACATGCAAAATATTATAAAAATAAAAAACAATAATGCTGTAAATCAGCATGAATGCACTTTCCCCATGACAGCATATTGTGGAGACATCTTTAAACATTAGGGATCTTTTTTCTTTAAATGGTAAAAGGCCTGTACTTATATAGCGGTTTTTCAAGTCAGAGGACTTGACCAAAGCTCTTTAAACTACTTTCTGTCATTCACCCATTCAATGATGATTGCAAGCTACATTGTACAGTAGCCACAGCTACCCTGGGGCTCACTGACAGAAGTGAAGTTGCCATACACTGGACCCACTGGACCCTCTTACCACCATCAGTAGACAATGCGGGTGAAGTGTCTTGCCCAAGGACACTGAAAGCCGGTGCCAGGTTTTGAACAGTCAACCCTTTGATTTCAGGGCAAACTCCAACATCCAATGCCACTGTCGCCCAAGTGGAGGAGTTTTATTATTAGTAAATACAGGGTCTTTCTGATAGAAAACCTCTTAAAGATCTCTAATGGGGCTTCTGAATTAAGTGGAGATTGTTCCAGTGGGGCAACAAACCTAAACATACAAAGTTATAATGCTTTGATTTAGACCAAAGCTCTTCAAATCCATTCCTTAAGACCTACCAGTTGCATTTATGTTCTATACAGAGGCGTTTGAGGTCTAGAGATATCCATCTCTGAATAAATGAGATCATATTTACATCCTAGAATGGTCTAGTCAAGGTCTGGACTTAAATCTAACTCAGGATTTATGGCAGGACTTGATTGATGGTAAAGATGTATGCCTTTTGATGATTGTTAAATTCCTTCTTGATTTTTTCCTTCACTTTTTTAGATTTTGGATTGTTTTTGTTATTTGAAGTGGAAAAAAGTAAAAGCAAAATAAAAGACCACAAAAACTAAGATTGCGCTGTGATCGCTCCTCCGAAACAGTTTATTGACGCCTAAATTAACTTAACCTGCCGACAGAATATGTTCGCTTTTATTATCCTGGTGCCTGCAGGCAGAGCAGCAAAGCTGCTTCAGCCACGCGTCAGAACTAACTGGTACAATCTAAACTGCAGGCACCAGGATAATAAAAGTGAACATATTCTGTCGGCAGATTTCTGCATTTTAAGTTAATTTATGCGTCAATAAACTGTTTCAGAGGCGT